ATCTTTTTCTTTCACAAGTATATCTTTTCCCTGTCAAAAAAAATCTCCGCTATTTGCAGAAACCAAAAAATAAAAGATAAATAGAAATTCTTGAATAAGTTACTGTTCTAATCAAGGATGAAAGTTTGTTTTATTGTCAAATTGCTCTAAAGTTGGATAATTGTATATAATATTGAGTGAGTTAATTTTCATAGAAAATATGAAATTGAATAATGTTCCTAAACTTACTTTTGTTTTAATGTTTAGAGTGCTTATTAGTATAAGTTTTTGCTTTGAGTATCTAAATATAAATTGATAACAAACCGTTTTTTCAGCTTGTACAAAATGCATATTCCAATTGAATCTTATGCTTTTTTTTTTGCCAAGTTATCATAATTATTACATATGTTTTTGCTCGATCGATTTGTCTATATTAACCTCAAAGACGAATAATTCGAACCGAAACCCAAATAAACCAAATCGATTAAATTTATACCCTGTTTAAACAATATAAATTGTAACATGACTACTTTCAAATTTGTGACACCTAGAGCCTCAAAATTCTGAATCCGCCTCTGCTCTTAACATGCTCCTTCTGATTCCCAAATATGAGTAGTTATTTTGGCTATCCTTACCTTTTTTAATTAGTAGGATGTTAATTAGGTGATAATAAAATGTAGTATAAACACATACTTTTATGTTAAAGTTATTTCTTTTAAAAGGGATTGTCTTACATCTTTAAAGGTTAATAATTTGGACAAGAGGTAGTATCACTTCTCAAGTAATCTTTGCGTTTGTAAAATAGAAACCAAAACCTCTTTTGACTTTTTCCATCAATATGTTCTTATTGTCGTATACTTATTTTCCATTAAACAATTGGTTTCTCTATTTTGATATATTAACTTTAAATTAAGAGTTTAAGGAAATTAGGAAATGTATAAGAGCCATTTGTCATTAATCAGTTTGGTTACTTTGGTATTAAAAAGCCAGCCGACGAAGAAGGAACTTAAAAAGTCGGGTAATAAGCACGTGGCTGTCCAAAATAGAAGATTGAAAGCCATCGGAGGGATTTTTTCTATTTTGTTTTGCAAACTTGAAGAAAGCATTGTGTTATGTATAAGATATACTTACTAGATGATTGCAATTAATCTAAGTAAAAGAATACAACAACATCATACCCAACATTATCCCACACAAATCTAAGTAAAAGAATGTTGCAGATTAAAAAATCGTTCGTATTCCTTGGGAGCACGTAAGTTGCGTAAACTGATGAAACACATTTCATACTATACAAGTCCAATAAACCAAACATCTTTCAATAAAAATATATTCACTAACTAATCCCGTCACTATTTAATTGTCGTATTATAATCTCTGGATAACTTATTCCTCAATTAAACGACCCCAAAAAGTTCACAAATTGTGACTATTCCATACCTTGAGTTGAGTAGGAGCAGAAATCATCATTTTTAGTACAATTCAGATTAGTGTTGACCACTAGCTGCATATTTTTGCACTAAAAAAGTGCTGCTTTCTCAATTGTAAGCTCTGCCTTCTAGTAGGAACACCATGCAGCATTTATCACAGCTTCAAAGTAGTATTTTAATTGTACTCAGTTACACTAGTTGCTTGCCCAATGCTGCCGCAAAGAGATAATTGACCAAAGCACCCCAGTGCAGCTTATTTCAATAAAACAGAAAAAGTCTTACTAATCAAAAAGCTGGATGAACTTTGGCAAGAATTGACCACATTTGAAGAATTTATTTTGGCTCACTGTGATTAGAAAGCTTTGAGGCTGAAGCACAAATTCTGTACTGCAGAGAATTTTAAATACAAGAAAATGAATGAAAAACATAAAATGAAAAGGGCTCAGTACTTCAAATCTTTTCAAGTGGAAAAGTAAATGTACATTTGTCTCTTTAACATGGAATAACATTCATTCTTTAGCTCAGCGTCACTTGTACGGATACCTGTTAATCGGGCCGGGCTGACCCGTTTTCAGCCCGCTTCAACCCGGGTCAGCCCGCTACTTAGCATATAGGGTGGGCTGGGACGGGTTGGACGGGGAGCGGGTTTTAGACGAATACATTTTGGATTCCGGTGCACCGGAACCCGCTAAGCCGCTAACCCGTTAACAGGCTGCAGCCTGGATCAGCCCATTAATGGGTTAAATTTTTATTTTTCTTAATCTCTTTTTAATTTGTGTACCGTTGCTAACAAAATTTAATTAAAAAAAAAAAATTAGCACAGCCCGCCCGAGCCCGTTTAAGCCCGAACCCGTACAGGCCCACAAAAACCCGCAAAAAGACAACACGCTAACAGCCCGCCCGCTAACCGAACGGGCTGGGGTTTTTCCCGTTCAGCCCCTCCCAGCCCGCCCGATAAACACCTATACTTGTACCGAGCTACAGAGTGGTAACTCTGCTCATCTAATATGAAATTATTGTAATTTCTAAATCCTACAGTTTACACCGGAATCCTGCTTTACAGCTTTACAAGATTGTGTAAGCAAAAATAGGGATCACTGTATCAGTATCCTCAATAAATAACAACAACAACAACAACAACAACAACATACCCAGTATAATCCCACGGGTGGGTCTGGGGAGGGTAGTAAGTACGCAGACCTTACCCCTACCTGGAGAGGTAGAGAGGCTGTTTCCGAAAGACCCTCAGCACAAGAAAAGGTGGAAAGGAAGAATAGGAAGAAGAAGAGGAGGAAAGAGGGGGGAGGGGGGAGAAAGCCGCTAAGCAAAGAGGGGATAAACTAGCATAAATAATAACCATCAGGGAGCAACATCTATATATATATATAAAGTTGGTAATAGAGAAGGTGATGTGGCACCTCTCTATGACCAGCAATTGTATTTATCTTTTTCTACAATTTTTTGGCTTTTTACCTCATTTTCTGGTCAAAAATTCATGTTAAAAGCTGTAAAATATGCATGCCAACATAAAACAATAACTTAATGCAGTTAAATGCTCAATGCTCGTACATTAATGAAAGAAAAAGCGTTAGAAGAATGGCTATCACTATTCAAAGCTTTCATATTCCAAAAGCATAAATGTTGGATAGATGAGAAGGCAAAGCGTTAGACGTTTGGAAGTTAACACATATTGACTATTGTTTCTTTTCTAGACATTGAGGATGAATCAAATTTTGCTTATGTCAATACCATCTGTATCTTTCTCTATACAGTGATTTACTCAGCTGTGAACTCCAAGATTGAATTACATTCTTGCCGCCATGGCCGGAAGGAAAGAAGAAAAATGAAGCTGTAAGTTTTCATAGTTTCTACTCTATGTAGCTTCATACGTGTTTTATTCCTTCTACTTTCTATCATTTTTCTTGAGTTTAAATTGGTTTGGAATGACTTGAATCGTACTGAACATTAATTGGTTTCCCCTTTACATTTTTGTTTGTGTTAAAGAGTTTTTGTGATATTTCATTCGTGAAGATGTGATCATGTATTTCTTTCCATGCCTTACTACTATTTTACCATATAAATTTTAATAAAGCGTATACTGGTAATGAGTTTCATTCTCATTGTTGAGTGCCTGTCTTATTGTTTGTATTCAAAATGTCTCACAGCAATATATGAAACTGCAGATGGATAAATAAAACTATTAAAACCTCTACTTTGGTGTAACGGTTGTCTTGATTCAGGTAACTTTTTTTTTCCTTCTGATTTCAAAGAAGATTGGGACTTCTGATAGTTCATTCTCCATTTCTTTCTTTTTGTTTGTGTTGAATGAGATGCTGACTTTCCTTATTCATTTATTTCAAAATTACAGGCAATGGTTTTTTGTGCATATTCCCTTTTAATCTTTATATATGCTTGCTATTTTATGCGTTTGATTTTTTTGTTATTGTTGTTCAAAGGATAAGAGATATTAAAGAGGTGAGAGTACCCTTATTATACGAAGATGAGAATAACTACTAATGTTTTTTATGTCTGTTTCAATAATCTTCAATAAAAAAGGATTCTTATTTTTCTTATTTCTTTTGCCCTTCCATTCTTTCTCTCTCTCTTTTTTCTCTCAGTTTTATTTTAAAAATCACATAAAAATGCTTTGTGTCTCTTTAGTTACATACCATTATTATGCCTCTGAATCTCATTGGTTACCTATCGTTATTATGGATTGAGGTTCTTTGGTTACTTGCTATCTTTATTTTGAGAAATTAGAAAAGAAGAAAAATGAGTTTTGTATTTTTTTTTTTTTTTTGAAAAATAAATGCGTAAGGAGTAATAAAGAAAAAAGAAAAAGAAAAAGGAAATGGAAGAAAAAGGTAACTTAAATAGAAAAGGGAAGGAAAAAATTAGAGAAAATATTTGTAATATTTGATTCCACTAACTTGTGCCACAGATTCAATTTTACCCTTTTTACTTTTAAATTCTTTCATTTTGTGTTGTTATTTTGTCTTGGATAGGTTTACAAGATTAAAAACTCATAAGTGGTGAAAAATCAGAAAAAAAAAGTTATAAAACTAATTAGTTAAATGCAAAATGGATTATGAAGTTGAAGTTTAATCTATTGGATTTGAAAAAAGGGAGTTTTCCCTTCTTTCTTCTTCTTTTTTTCCTTTTTTATTTGAAAAATGAATGGGTAAGATGTAAGAAAGAAAAAAGAAATAGAGGAAAAAGGTAAATGGAATTGAAAAGGGAAGAAAAAAATTAGAGAAAATATTTGTTGAATTTGATTTCGTTGATCTGTAAGATATATTCGATTTTACCATTTTTCTTTTAACTTCTTTTATTCTGTGTTGTTATTTTTATATTGGGGAGGTCTAGAAGATTAGAAACACATAAGCGATGCTAAATTAGAAAAAAAAAATCAAACTAATTTGTTAGATAAAAGATGGATTAAAATTTGAAATTTAATCTATTGGGTTGGAAAAGAATCTTTAACATATTCGGATATTAGTATAAGGATTGTTTTGTATGTTGAATAAAGTTTTTAACGACCGCGTGCGAAGTGCGGGCATATTTACTAGTTATCCAATAAAAGGAAAGAAAAAGTAGCATCAAACAGTAACAATCCGAGAGCAACAAGAATATTTACAAAAACAAAGGACGTGGTTGCAAAGTACCAGATACAATAACAAACTAGAAGGAAGTAACTTTCAACCCACATCAAGAATATTTCTAGTACTACTGGTGAACCTATGAAAACTCGTAACTACCTGTCAACCCACCACCTTAATCCTCGACCTCCACACCTTCCTATCGCTAGTCATGTCCTCGGTTAGGTGAAGCACCGACAAGTCCTGCCTAATCACCTCTCCCCAATACTTCTTAGGCCTACCCCTGCCGTTCCTCAAGCCTGTCATGGTCAACCTCTCACACCTCCTGACGGGGGCATCTATATCTCTCTCTTCACATGCCCAAACCATCGCAGCCTCGATTCCCGTAACTTGGCTTCCACAGATGCTACTCCCACCTTGTCCCTGATAACTTAATTCCTTATCTTGTCTTTCCTGGTATGACCATAGATCCATCTCAACATCCTCATTTCTGCTGCGCAGTATCCTCAATAAATCAAGCAAGAAATAAGATCAACGAAGACATACTCTGGAGGTGTCACACCACCCAATTGGATGATCGAAGCCATATTCTTCCTCGGGTTGACTGAGCAAATCCTGAAATAAATGCTGGCTCAAGAATGATTTGGGGATCATAATCTCTGCCTCAGGTTCTCCCCAGCATAGATGACAAAGTGGCCCTTGAGTTAAACAGAGAGGTCATGTTAAGGTACGCAGAGAGCAAAAGGTCATTTTGAGAAGTACAATGTAATTTTAGTCCATTTAGTAACAGGAAAAACAACTTCTTTGGACAACAATATAAGCTGCTTTCAGTAGGAAACAAAAAGAAAGGATACAATACAAATCCAAGTCTAGAGATGAATAAGTAATAACTCTCACACTTAAAGACAAGCACTCATATACTAAAAGATTCACTGAGGAACTCCATATCGAAAAGGATCCAGCAGTTCATAAGCGAAACGACATAACAAGTCTCCTATCATAATGAATTTTTTACAAAGCATAGATCAGATTTCCCTTGTCTTAGTTATAGAGACATAGTGAAGCATTTTCGTAGTGCTTATATAGAATTCAAAAAGCAGTCAGCTTTGGTGTATGACTAGTAAAATGGTGTGCTTTGAGGAGTAACTAACTATGTTAAGACTTAAGTAGGAAGTTAAGCAAGATACCCTGGATCAGATATCAACTTACACCAAGCAGATTGAACAAGTAAAGCTATTCTGGTTAATTTACACTACATTGTGCCAGGTTTGAACAAGTTTCACTCCAATTTCTGGAAAACTAAGAGGAATTTTTTCCTTTTTCAGAAACAGCAATTCATTTTAATCAATGTACTTGTATTAGCAAACCTAGTACTAGTATTTATAGAACAGAACAAGGTTCTTAAGATAACAACTTAGGTTCCAGGCACAGACAAAAAGATACTAGTTCGGTACCATAAGTCAGAGACGGGCAACCAAGAAGAGATTGATCATTAATCAACATCGTGATAAGCCTAAGCTCGTTCTCCGCGAATTCGTCTTGCAAGCTGAATATCAGATCTGTCTTAAAATCCTGAGCAATCTCACGGACAAGCCTCTGGAAAGGCAACTTCCGAATGAGAAGCTAAGTACTCTTGTGATATTTTCGGAGAGCAAAAGTTCCAGGGCTGTCACGATGTGGCTTCTCACTCCTCCCGTGGTAGGGGCTGATTTCCTTGCAGCCTTTACAGCAAGTTGTATCCTTGGAGCCTTTCCACCGGTCGATTTTACGGGCTGTCTGTTTCATACGAGCCATTTTTTCAAAATCTGGAAATCTATTATTAACCAAGCAGAAAATCTGAGAAAGAGTTGCTGAGAGAATTTGAATTTGAATTTGAAATATGAAATAACAACTAAGAGGATTCAATCTAAAAATAAGGTTGATCTAGTCAGCTGTGATTTTCATTTATGGTTGATGTACAAGGAACTAGAAACTATGAGAAAAGATCAACTCCATTTTTTTTTTTCATTTAAGGAAAAAAAAAATATCAAACTCCTTTTTATAATTAATATATGCAACATATAAGAGGACAATGTCTGAATATATATAACCACATATAATGGTGAGCTTTAAAACTTCAAGTGATTTAATTTCTAAAGATGTGGCGCTCTTATTGTAAAATCAGCTAATGAGATCACCGAGTGTTTACCAACTTGAAAATTCCTTCACATATACAAGCAAGACAAAAGATCCACACTAGGACACCTTATTAATTGATTGATTATCTTAGTCCATAGAGAGCTTGTAGTTGTACAATACCAATTTCAACTATTTCCTTCTCTTCAATTTAATCTTTATCCTTTCTATATATGAGAACAAAAAAGATGGCAGAGAGAGAGAGAAGGGGTGACTAAATGACTGGCATCAAAAGCCAGTGGAGAAGATGAGGTAGCAGATAGGGGAAAAGAGTGAAAGAACAAGAGGCTTTGACACAAAGAACTTATTTCTCAGATGTCATGGGTGTAAAAAATTTATTATATTAAGAAAACTAAAAATCAGAACATTAATGATCCTTTCACCTTTAATTCACTATCCCCCTTAATTTTAAAGCTCTGATTTTGCTTTTAGAATAACCTCTAGCCTTTATAAAGAAATAGAAGAATAGCTCATAAGGGAATTCAGATTATTTATCATATTAAGAGTGCAATAGCATCTAATTTGCAAGGAAAAAAAGAGGACAAAACATTCAGAATTAGAAGTGATTTACCTCCTCAATAAGTTTGCCTATAAAGCAAAAGCAATGTTCAAATTTCGTTGTTCCTGTTTCCCCAAATGCATTGGATGAGATTAGGAAAACATCTTCATTTCTTCTTTTCCGGGTGAAACTCTGGTATCATGTCAAGCAAAGAAGGATCCTTCGCTATAACGTCTATCAGTAACTCTGTTGTAGTTGTATCAAATGGGAAAGTCTTCCCAGTCATTTCCTTTAAGAAAGCCCTCGTTTCACCAATTCTGTTACTTCTCAGAAACCCTTGCATAATAACATTGTAAGTTACATTGTCTGGCAAACATCCATCGTCCTCCATTTTTCTTAGCATATCTTTAGCTTCATCTAGCAATCCTTCTAGACAAAACCCATTAATCATTGTAGTGTATACTATCACGTTAGGATGTAACCCTATTAAAGAAAGCTTTTCAAAAATGGCATAAGCTTTGTCCAACTTTCCATTTTTGCACAATCCATCAATGACAATATTGTAAAGTTCAATGTCATTATCTTCTCCCTCTCTTTCCAACTTATGAAAGAGTGACATAGCTTCTTCAACAAGTCCGTTCTTAAAATAACCAACAAGCAAGATGCTATGAGTACAAAAATCAGGTCTCTGCCCTGCCGATAGCATATCTGCAAAGAATTTTTGTGCGGTGTCGCTTCTTCCAACTCCCAACAGACCTTGTAAGATAATATTGTAGGTAAAAATATCAGGTTTAAACCCCTTTCGAGAAATTTCAAGAAACAATTGCATGGCCTCGTCCAACTTCTTTTTCTTGCAGTATCCATTTATTAGTGTGTTATAACTAATAATGTTAGGCTCAATGCTCTTGTCTATCATGGAATCAAAAATTCTCCTCGCTCTATCCATTTGACCACGCAAACGGTATCCATCTACTATTGCATTGTAGGTGACCACAGTAGGCTCCACACCTTTTCTGATCATGTGTCTCATTATTTCCTCGGCGTCTTCAGCTTTTCCTTCCTTGCATAGCCCATTGATCACTATGCTGAAGGTGTACACAGTTGGATAAATATTAAGATTAACCATCTCATCAAACATAGTCCTAACATATTCCCACTGACCAAACTTACACAAACCATCAATCAATGAACTATATGTGATAATGTCTGGTGGAACGCCTTTCTGTTTCATCTCGTTTAAAAGGTTGATAGCATCATCTAGCATTCTATCTTTGCAAAGGGCATCTATAACAATGTTATAGATGCATGTGTCAGGCTTAGTGCTCCCTTGTTCCATTAATCGGAGCAAACTAAAAATTTTTCCGGTATGGCCCCTTTTGCTAAGCCCATTCATGACAGTTGCATACATGACTTCGTTAGGCTCACAAATATTCTCTCTCGTTAGTTTTTTGAACAAGTGAACAGCATCTTTAACCTTATTTTCAGCAAAGAGTCCCCCTATTAGGGTGTTAAAGGTAACAACATTAAATGGAATGCCAGTTTTGAAGAAAATGGCTAATACAGAAAATCCTAAATCAGCACGGTGCATGAGGCAATAACTGTTAATCACTATACTCAAGATGAATTCATTAGTTGGAATACCTAATTTCTGCATTTCTCCAAAGAGAGAAACAACATCAGAGTAATGTTTCATATTTACCATTATTTTCAGCAATTTCGAGAAGCTGACAGGAGAAGGAAGAGGCTGCTCTCTAACCATTTGACGGAACACACTCACAGCATCATCGAAACACTTGACATTCTCAAACCTGTTAGAAACCCTAAGTTTACCCTTTATCGAAATGGATGTATTGCTAGGAGATGAAGAATAATCTCTGGGTGTAATTACTGAAGCAGAATGCGAAAACTCAGCATTGCAACGAGGAAAAGCCAAAAATGAGATAAAGGTATTACCGTTGCGAGGGTAACGAATTGCAACTCTCGCCATCTTCACTTTACTACAGTGGGAGTCTCTCCAATTTCTATCGAGGAAAAATTTTCCTGGAAAATACGGGCAGGCGGCAGCCCAATCTGAAGAAGCAGACAACAAAGTGAGTAGTATTTTTTTTATTAGTTAAAATTAATGTGTTAATGAAGAATTTTAACTATATTAAAGGAATGGCTTTCACAGTTTAAAAGTTGAGAATTCAAGTAGAAAATGACGATGTTAATTGATTTTGATATATAGTAGAACCTCTCTAAAAATAATATTGTCGGGACCATAAAATATTACTATTATTTTGTAGAGGTAATTATTTAATCGATAAATTAATATTATTAATTTAAAGAGTATTTTGGAAATTCAATGATGATTATATCAAAATCATTGTATATTACTAATTTATATATCATATTATTGAATTAATTTATAAAGATAAATTTATTATACATAAAATTCAATATGATGTATGATTCGTTGTAATTTTTTTAATTATACAAAACCATAAAAAGGAGGAAATGAAACATACTTAAATACTGGGTATCAGTTACACATAATCTCCCTACATTTAAGATATTCTTCCTTTTTCAAAGGATTACAAAACATCATCTGTCTTTGTACTTACACACCGTAAGAAACCTACTGGTACCCAAAATCCCATCGTAAGAACCCTGCTGGTACCCAAAATCATCATCTCTCTTTCATACAAATCAACCAATATCTCTCTCTCTCCCTCATACAAATCAAACTACTATCTCTCTAAAATTGTAGCATCATATATTTCTCTGAATCAATTCCACCAACAACCATTAAAAAGGTTCAACTATTGACAAATTCATCAACATTATCTCTGAAATTGTAGGTGGAGGGGTCTGTCATTGACATACCATTAAAAAGCTTCGAAGCTTTGAATTAGATATTCAGATTTTGCGAATTTGTGATTTTTTTTGGATTGGGTGTTCTTGAAAATGATTGAAAATATCCTTTAGAGTTTATATCTCAATTTTAAGGGAGATTCGTTAAGTTTAAAGTTGGTTTTAGGTTGAATTTCTAATTGTAACTCGAGGAAGAAGAAGTTTCGGAATTGTATTACGATTGTATGATAAATGTATCATAATTGTATCTGAGTTGTATTTGATACATCAACACCTAAGACAATTCTGATACAATACTAATACTATTAAAATACAATATTGTATCATAATTTAAGTTTAGAGTTGGTTCTAGGTGGATGTTTTAAATTGAAACTTGAAAAAGATGAAGATCAAAGTTGTATCATAATCTAGAATTGTATATCATAATTGTATCGCAATTTGTACCTAAAACAATATATGATACAATGCTAATAGAAATATAACACGATATTGTATTAGTTTAAGTTTAGAATCGGTTTTAAGTTGTATCAGAATTGTGTAAGAATACTTTCGGGATTGTATCAATTTTGTATCTGATAATGAGTACTTGTGAGTTCATGACGAATTTCAAGTTTATATCACAAATATATGATAATTATATATTAATTTATTAGTATTGTATCAGGTATTATTAGGATATTAATGTACCATCTACAAATTAGATACAATTGTGATACAAGTATGATACAATTATGTTTTACGCATTGATATATCTGATACAATTCAAATGCAATTATGATACAGTTATCATACAATCCCTGAATATTTTTTCATTTTTAGTGTTGTCCGGTCTCCCAACAAAAGAACGATGCAATTGATGACTTAATAATATAAAGCTGTCGCCAATGGTGGGAAGAGAGAAGATGGAGATTCTGGGTGTAGATTAAGGAATTTTGATGTAAAAAAGACGGAGAAAGAAGAGGAACGAGAAAAAAGGAAAGGATATAATTGAATCCCTTAATTGAAGGAACTAATAATAATGTGAGAGCCTTTTAAGGAGAAATCTACACAATTTGTAAAAAAAAACCTATATACTTATTAAAAACTACAAAACATAGAGAATATTGGTAAATAAGTTTCTAATATAGTATAGCTAGGTAAAAATCCCTTGATAATTATAGTGTTGTCCATATGTTACGGTCTGGAAGGTTTGTGCCTTATCGGAATGGTGAAACTGTCAACCACATCCGTCATCTCTTGGCTAGGAACTGAGTGGTCTCTATTGCTCGTATCTACACGGAGGCTAATTCGATAGGTAATGATGATCTAGCCAATTTAGCCTTAGTCAATAACCTCGTTTTAAATAGCATACACTTGTGCTTTATAGTATTTCTTTTCTTTTCCTCACTTGATTTCTAGCTAATTTCACTTTCGAATACATACGACATTATCTATGCTAAAATACAAATCTTAGAAAAAGTACAGACTTATTTAATACTCCCTCCGTTTCAATTTATATGAATCCATTTGATTGGCACGGAGTTTAAGAAAAGATAGAAGACTGTTGAACTTGTGATGTAAAATAAAACACATATATTTTGTGTGGCTATAAATCATTGCATAAAGGTAAATTGTTTTCAAATAGGGAAAGAGGTCATTCTTTTTTGTACGAATTAAAAAAGAAATAGGTTCACATAAATTGAAACGGAGGGAGTAATAATATAAACAAATCAAAAGTGCAACATAGTCAAATATAAGAAAAGGTATTGGCAAAAAACCTGGAGATCTAATGGTTGTCGCTTATTGCGCGGAAAATACCATAATTAAAGCATCAAAATATTTTAGGATTTACAGGAAACCGTGTCATATAACGACAGAGTAACTAGGGCTGGGCATATATCGGGTAAAACCGATAACCCGAACCGTTAATTGTTTATTGAGTTATCGATATCGGGTTATTGTGTTAACGGTTCGATAACGGTTTAGAATTTTTTTACTATTGGGTTATCGGTTCGGGCCTCGGTTTGCCAATTTTGTTAACGGGTTAACCGATAACCCAATAAGAATTAATAAAATTACGACTTCACCCTTAAGTATGTACAAATGCTAGGGTTTCAGTTCATTTTCTCCTACTCTTTCTCAACCGTACTCTTCAGTTGCTTCATCTTCATTCTTCATAGACCTTACTAGTTACTCCTAGCATAAGTCTTTAGTATACTATATGTGAATTCTTCTCTTTTTTGCTTAACTCAAGTGAATTGTCTTCGCTTTTTTGCTTAACTCTAAATCGAGTTATCTTATCGGGTAAACCGATAACCGAACCGATAATGATCGATAACCGATTAACCGATACCCGATAACCGATATCTTATCGATTCGGTTATCGGTTTATCAAATTTGTAAATCGATAACCGATATGCTAAACCGATAATATTCATAACTGAACCGAACCGACCGATGTCCACCCCTAAGAGTAACCTACACTGCCGCTGCAGAGCGGCACATCTTGTAACCACTAGATCCATCCAAAACCATTAAAATAATCTAATTGAATCAAAAATCAAAATTTGCTGAATATATTAGAGTATTATTTTCTAACATAAAAAAATGGAATAAAGAAGTCAAAGCTAAGCTAGCGTTTGGACATAGATTTGATTGAAACTCAAAAAAAGAATTTTGAAAGTTAACATTATTTTTGGACATACATTTTATTTAAAAATAAATTAAGGTTTTATGAGTAGAAAAAGAAATTCCCCGAAAATCAACCTAAGAACTTGATATTTTTTTTAAATATTTTTCAAAAACTGAACATATTCATGGACAACCACTATTTTCAAAAACAAAAACCTACACGATTGAACACGAATAACTACACTCCAATGGTGGGACCCGCTCCAATAAATCACAATAACTAATCTGACTTCGCGAAACCATCTGTCAAAAAGTCACCGCATTATTTTAACAGGCGATAACACCAATTAAAATGTCGAAAACCACAATTTAAGAAATTTGCACGAATTCGAACTTAAAGAGAAAGAAACCGAGAAATCTAATCTTATTCCAATTCCAACATGCACTGGTAGTAGTAAACACCACCAAGTACAGTAAAGACCCGACACAGTAAGCCCGAAACCCGACCCACAATAAGCTAAGGAAAAAGCTAAAAAAGAAAACGAAAACCAGCAGATCAGTACACTGGGATCACATAGTTAACTAGTTTAGATCATCATTAACATTAATTAATACGATTAATAATCTAGGAGAGTTGACCACAGTCAGCAATCACAACGGGCTTCGAGCACCTGCCGGAGCTAGATCCAACGGCTTCCACTTTCTTAATCACGTCCATTCCTTCAATAACTTGACCAAAAACCACGTGTTTTCCATCGAGCCACTCGGTTTTGGCCGTACAGATGAAAAACTGCGATCCGTTAGTTCCAGGTCCAGCATTAGCCATGGAGAGAATTCCAGGTCCAGTATGCTTTTTAACGAAATTCTCGTCGGCGAATTTGGCGCCGTAGATCGATTCACCGCCGGTACCATTTCCAGCAGTGAAATCACCTCCTTGACACATAAATCCAGGAATCACACGGTGAAATGATGATCCTTTGTAGTGTAACGGCTTGCCGGACTTTCCGACGCCTTTCTCTCCGGTACAGAGTGCTCGGAAGTTATCCGCCGTTTTCGGAACTACATCGTTGAACAACTCCATCACCACACGGCCGGTCGGTTGACCGCCGACGGTAAGGTCGAAGAAAACCTTAGGATTTGCCATCTCTCACTCTCTTGTAGAAATTTCTGTGGAATTTTTAAGCTGTGCTCTCACTGTATGCTTTGAAATTAAGCTAAAAGGAGTTTATATAGGAAATTGCGAAGCGGATAATTTGTTAAAGAGATGATCTTAACCGTTTATCATGACAGGTGTCAGCATCACGAAGTGTGAATTTGACCGTGGTTATTTACATTTACCGCAGTTAGTTTAGCATATGGATCACGTGGCATATGCGTTTCTGATGCTATGGGAGCAGTTAGTGGAGAGAATTTCGAAGTTTCGGGTGACTTCGGCCCATTTTGTGGCCGACAACAGCCCAAGTCCACTGGAACCGGACAGCTTTTGTTTCATTTTGTAATTTGAACGTTTTTCTCGGGATCTTTACACATGTCATATTCATGATTTACTTTTTTTAATCATACATAAATTATACACATATAATACATAAATTATAAATTATACCATATATTATAGCTCCACTCATTAGTTGTTAAATGGGCGGCCATTTAAGTTTATTCTTCTTTTCTTTTCTTGGAGTTGGGCAAAGTAGGAAAACCAATTTGGAATTTATTTTTGACAATTATAATTATAGTTTTGGATACAAAATAGAATTTATTATTAAAAAATATCAATTCATACCAGGGGCAGAGCTGCAATACTAGTTGCTGGTTCGGCCTAACTCGGTAGCTTTGGTTCAAACAAACTTTGTATTTATCTTTCAAAAATTCATTAATTATGTACAATTGTTAATTTAGAACCCACTAACTCAAAAGGATTAGCTTTCCAAATCCATAAACTTGAAATCCTAGTTCCGCCTCTGATTTATACATAGTCTGGCATTCCTTGTATACTTTTGTTTTTAGAAGCTGAATGTACAATAATAACAATAACTATATATGTCCGAGTCCCAAATAAAGTGTTTTAGTCCCAAATAAAGTTAGAGTATAGTCACTTAACTATTTTAATATTTCAACATGAAAGTGGTACAACCCTACATGCACTCATATGCATGGTGCACATGCCGCATGCGATTGCTGTTTCGAACTCGAATACTTATGTAGAAATTATTGAACAATTTGAAAATAAGCATATATATTAAGTGGTGCACCTACTACCTTTAAAATCTTGAATCCGTTAATGCCAGCTCACTTAAGAGGAAATATTTTAAAGCCACCCTCCTATGGGTGAGGAATAGAAGGTGGCAGAGGTGGGAACAATGGGTGGTGGAAGTACTTTGGAGGAATCTTAGGATGAATATGGACTTTAGGAAATAGGGGTGGACGTGGTTTTTTATAGAATGGTGGGATTGGTTTGTATATTGGAACAGGTGGAGGCAGAGGCTTTACTGGTTTGTAGATTGGTTTTGGAGGTGGAAGTGGCTTTGGTTTGGGCTTGTAAATAGGAACTGTAGGTGGTTTAAATACTGGTGGCGTTGGTTTTGGTTTTGGTTTGTAGATAAGAATTGGAGGTGGAAGTGGCTTCTTATAAATGGGAGGGAAAGGTTTCTTATGAATAGGAGGTAGAGGTAAATACATCTTAGGGTAATGTTTCTTTTTCCAAGAGTGAATCTTGGGGAAAGGTGGCAACTTTGGCAATGGTGGATACTTGTAGTGTGGCCATAAGAAAGCAGAAGTGCACAAAGCTGTAGAGAACTTAAGATTTCCAGCTGCTTTTAATGTATGCTTCTCATCATTTTCAGATTTGATGACGACAATCTTGGACCTGTCTATGCCATTGTGTGCTGGACATGGTGCAGCATATGCACTATGGAGCTGGGCATAGCAATCTTCTTTTAATTTGCCGTCTTTTACCATCTCTTGTGGAAGTGACACCACCAACTTGCCATCTTTGTCAAGTTTTCCTTCTCCCCTTGTTTTGATTTCTCCATTTTCAACCTTGCAGTCGATGGTTACACGAAGCCCTGAAAGCAAAAGTTGTTATAACTAGAGGCATTTCTAGAATTTTAAAGGATGAACATGGAAGACTACTCATCCATTAATATATTAGTGACAATGGGTGCAATTTTTTATTAATGTACATCTTTTCAAAATTATTCAATTGAAGAGGAGCTTTGACGCAACGGTAGAGTAAGATTAAAGCCGTGGAAACGACCACTTGCAGACATGCAAGGTAAGCCTGTGTATAATAGACCTAATATGGTCCGACTCTTCCCCGAACCTCCACATATAGCGGGAGCTTTGACGCAACGGCAAGAGTTGCTGTCATGTGACAGCAGGTCACAGGTTCAAGCAATGGAAATAACCTCTTGCAAACATGCAAGGTAAGGCTATGTATAAATAGAGCTAATGTGGTCCAACTCTTCCTCGACCGCACGCATAGCGGGAGCTTCGTGCGTCAAGCTGCCCGTTTATTCAGCGGTATAATAAGGCGAGCCTCAAAACAGCGATGCGAAAGCACTCACTGCTCTGATTATGGCACATATGCTATATATGATTATAGCCATTAAGCTTCTGAAAAATGTTTTGCAAAATCAAGATAAAAACATGAAAGTGCATACCTGAAAAGGCATGAGTGGTCTTTATGTTACTCTCTTTGCAATCAGCACATTCCCCAATTCCAACAACCTGGATTGTCTTGTCATCAGCATAGCAGAAAGTCACAGCAAACAGCAATAAAGAGACAGAGAATCCCAAAAGGACTCTGCCACAAAGTGACTGAAGCCCCATTGAGCACAATGCCAACAGGCAAATGGGGCAGCCAAATAGCTGAGAGAACTATTAACTCTACTTTGCCAAAATGTGAGATTTTGTTGTTGTTCTTGAATATGTTTGTCTGAAGGGATTAAAGGGTATATATATAGTACTTAAAATGATAGATTTTTATGAGTTACACCAACACATAGTTAAGGACCTAACATGACCTTACCTTGACTTATGTTGGAATAATTGAAAAGGGTTTATAGCAAAATTTAAGAATCAACTAATATGGGTGGTGGCATAGCATAGCTGTTTGATCAAAGGCAATTATCCTCATTGAATGAGGTATCATCCAACTGCAAACCTTGTTTATTTTCTATCTGTAAACCTATTTAGCGGCTTTCATTTATGTCCATCCTGAAAAAGTCTGGAGTTAAATGTGAACTTTTGACTACTTGTGACACTCTTCAGTAACAGTATAATTGACATCCTAGGTGTTCAAGAAAAACTGAAAAATCGGATAGCATAATGTGCCTGAATTTGAACTCAGAGCTTTCTATATGGATGAAAGTCATGTCCAAGATAAAAAGAACGAGGGGAAGAATCGACGAGGCGAGTGTTCTCGAAGAGAAACTATGTCATACGAAGAAATTTATGTGTAATTACTTAATAAGTGACTTGATTGTATACACACTTTTATATCGTCAGTGCATGTGACCTAAATTCTTGCTTTAATAGCATTTTACACACGCCGAAATATTTATTGTAAATCCTTCAACAGCATGTAGAAACTTACACTAGCCCATATAATACTTGTACTTGTACTACAATATGATTTGACTCGATCATCAATTTCTTACCTAAATCAATTGACAAATATCGTTTAGCGAGATAGAATTGGGTTCATAAACTTTATCACGCGAGTACATGTTTTTGTTCTGTGTTTGATTTTTCTACTACTAATTTATCTTACATCTTGGCTAATTATACGGCAAAAACTGAAGAGGAAGTTGTTTATTCATTGTCGATTTGAAGCCCTGAAAACGATGTTTCAACTAATTGTGTATGCATTTACTTGAATTTCATCTCCCACATGCAGCAATATACGGACCAATGTATATTAATAACACTCCTAGACAAGTCCACCTCTTGTGTCACTCGAAACTTAGTTCTAATGTAAAAAACTCAATCCAAATGCGTCAAAAGCAAAATGTAGATCTTCTTTGATCAGTGATTTTTTACGCACCTAAACACGAGCTTATATTTTTCAATAGTAGAAGCTACAAGGCTATAATATTTCTGTTCTTAATTGCAGAATAGTACATTCTTGTTTGTTGACAAGTATGTTTACTGAATTTTCTCAGTCCCCGCTAAAGATTTTCTTCCCAACTCAAACAAAGACCATAAGAATGGCTAATCTATCTACCAAGGAAATAATAAACTTGTTGAAAGGAAAAATGACAATGTGTTAGACAAAATTGTCTTGGCCACCTCTAACTACCAGTCAGTTTGGCACTAAAAAGACAAAGGCTGATAGGTTTTTCCTCATGCTACAACAGTGAAGAAGCTCTATCACTTCTAATTCTTAAACCTATTGCACATTTTAGCTGTGCGTAAATCCAGTCTAACTGGGGAATTTAGCCTCCACATGCTGCTTGGGACATCAGAAACCTCAAGTCATTCACTTCTTCTTCTTCGACTTGTTGGAAAGCGACTGAGTATATGCAGTTCCCTACATAAAAGACACAAGAAGTAAGGCAAAACTTCTTCATACCAAGTCCAAACATAAAAGGAAATCATTTTAATGTGATTTCTAAAAAACTAGAAGACCAAACATTCTAAAAAATACTCCCAACAGTTAAAGAAACCACAAACCTCAAGCCATTCATCCATGGATGCATCTGTTGTTGCAGTTCCAACTTCAACCTTTGCCTTTGGTGCTCTCTTAGTTTTCTGTACATGCATCAAGAAAGAAAAGAAACCGTTAGGAAAAGGACCAACAAAAGTGCAATATACACCTATCTCACAGAACAGACGTTTACAATAAGACTGTCTGGGCCCTATAGTCTATAGATCAACCCCTCATACATTAATATGCAGAACTTTTTCTTAGCTCTGCTGTTCGACATAACAGTATCTGCTCTTACAGTGACACCATTATATGTATGGTTATGTCTCGCTATCACCACTGTATCAAGTCTCAGCCAATACCAGATTTTAAAGATTCCTGATACTGAAGTATATCCCACCATGTCAACAGAATAGTGTAGTAAGAGCTAAAACTGATAACCCTAATCACAAACCACTTGGGGCCCTTCAATGATGCCCATCACATATATTTTACAATCCACCCAGTACTGATGCACTAGCAAACATTCTTCTGCTTTTGCAAGGTGCATATAAAGAGTAAATCACCTTTGAGAGATTTTGTATCTGACCACGTATCCAGAATCCAAGAAGGCCAAGGAGCGCAATTCCAAGGCAAAACAAGAAAACGGACTCAACGCTGAGAAGACCACCAGGCTCAGTCACTTCAATAGTGCCATTGTAGAATGTACTCTGATAAGGGTTCTGGTCTATCTCATAAACAATAGTGGCAACTAGATCAAAACTTCCAGGCTGCAACATTAAGAAAAAAGTTATTCAGCCTAGGAAATCAATAGCAGCATTCAAGTGCAAGATAAGAAAGTATGAAAATAAGCAGATAATAAAGATAAAAAGCAACATGAATGCTTGGAAAAATACCAACCTGCATAAATTTGCTGACAGCAAATATATATGGGAAAGTGGCCTGAGCTGAAGGTGGAACTGTCGCATTGTTAAAAGCCTTGGAAATGGAAGAAGATACAAAATTAGCCAAGTCCCTAACCCAAATCACAGTAAAATAGCATGAACATAGAAGCCTCACTTGAATAGGAACTCCTAATTAACAGTAAAAGATCACCAAAGTATTTGCATCCTATAGAGAACAATCACCGCCCTTGTGACAAATAAATTTTTGTACTTTACTTTGGTAGCAATCTAAAAATGATATTTTTTCTTACCATTAAATCTAAAATTATATCCTAGGACCAGTCATGTGGAAATTTTACAATATATATGAGCTCCATGCTATGTGGAAATTAATCAAATGAGAAGAAAATTATGTTTCATTCGTAAGAAGGATGAGTTCTTTATGCCTTGTGCATACAAATGTTTTCTTGGTTCAACTGGAAGCTAACCGGCTACTAATCTTAAGGTTAGAAGTCAACATGGAGAAACCTCAAATAAGATTGAATATTACCAGAAGAATTCAGAACTAAAAGAATATGAAAATATGTAAATTCCAGCTTAAAGAACCAAAATAACAAGTAAATAAATTTGAGATAGAAAGCTCTTATCAGCTTAAAGAACATAATAAATCACAAATCTTATGGAAGAAGGAGAGCCTGATCTCTACAAAAGAAATAAGACAAACAATTACCTGTACAGACAGATTTTGAACCAAATAGCGGTGATCAAAAGGAAGGTGAACACTGGCTTGGATTGCAATGATATTTAGACTTGAATCCCCTGTTTTAGGCACCCAAAATTGGGAAATGAATCACTGAAAATTAAGCACTTGAAGGGAGAGGAGAAAATACACCAAAGAACACAAAATTACCATCATTTTTCATCCCAACTAACAGCTCACTTTCCTCACCAGCTGCCACCGCTGCGAAGAAGAAGAAGAAACGTGATTTAGAGATGCAAATCTAAACCAGACTAAAACAATGAAGACACAAAGCAGAACCGAAATTACTTACACTTGGAGGGGTTTTTAGGGAAAACACAAATTGTCTCAATCCCAGGTGCGGGACTAAAACTCTCACTGCCAAAGTCTTGCACATCATCACCAACAATTCCAAGATCCCCTCCTTCTCCACTGCCTTCAACCACTTCCGTTTCAGGGTCGGATTGACATCTAGCAACTACGGAGAAAAATCAACACCATACAAAAAGTGCAACGATCAATAACAAACAGGAAAACAGCCCAACAGCAAACAGCCAACAAAGGCGCAACGATCCCAAAGAAAGTTGTGTTGGCTACACAATCCTCTGTAACCATTCCGCTCTATCCGGGCCCAAAAGCCTAGGAGATAATAAGGTATGCAAATAACTGAAATCTGAAAATCAAGTAAATGAACTACTATACTTTACCTTTCTCATTAAAAAAAGTAAATGAACTTACTTACTACCAAATCAAACGGAGGTGGATCCAAAATTTGAACTTTATAGGTTCAGCATGACACTGAACCCACTAATGAGTTACTGAGTTTGAAATTTAATATTTATACATATTTAATAGATTTCTTAATACATATACAAGGTCTGAGCCAAAGCAATTGGGTTTAGCTGAACCCATAGCTTATACTACACATCCGCCCCTAACATTAGGTAGGATCGATGCATGGATCAACAGTTCTTTTCCATGTCATTATATCAAATGAGATTATAACAAGAGATTACCAAGTCGAAGACATTTAATTTAACTACCAAATTACACTAATGCCACCCAGAACACAATTCGAATTCTACTTATTATTCCCGAACACTATTCTGCTGAGATTATTTTCAGTAATCTTCAATAAGAGGCAGAATTACTCATTAAAGAGAAATCACATCCCACACACACACACACACACGTAACTTTGAAGAGATAAAAGAAATTTCGATTGCATCCGATTGAATTTCGATTTACAAGATCGCACAAAAGATCACTAAATAAAGCTAGAAAAACACGGTAATTATCCTGTTGCACGAGCATTTGCATGTAGGAACAATTATATAAATAAGGAAAGAGAGATCTGGATCTGAGAAACGAACCTTGAAGAAATGGTGAAGAAAAGAGAAGGAGAGCTAGGAGGATCCAGAAAACCCTAATTGTCATTTTGTGAATTCGAACAGAGAAGAATTAACAGAAATGTAGAGCTGAGCTGAGAAGAAACGCCCAGCAGCAGAAGCAGGAGCAGTGTTTTTTTGTCTTTTTTCGGGATAGGAATTAGGAAGTGAAACCGAACCTCCTTTTGTGTTTGGAAACAGAGGAATATCCAAAGAAAACTCGAGCCAATACGGGGGCCCAATTTCACGATTCCACTTATTTTTTTTGGCTTTATTTGATT